TTGCTATCTATCTTATTTTTACTCCAAACAACGTTTTATATTTAAATTTTTTGCTTCTAAATTCTCTTTTATCCTTGGTAATTTACAAAGCAGGTCTGTTTAGCCTTTTGCCCAAGTCCGTTCCATGTTAATCTATAATTACCTCATGTCCTAAACTTACCTGACCGCAAGTTCGCACAGTTTAAGATTGGGTGCGATTAGTAGTCATCAAAGGATCAAATTAGAGCACCCTTCAAAGAGCACCCCGCCTTGGTGGCACCTAATGTGTTTATGGGAGGACATCGGGTATATTGTTGGTCGTCGAAACGGGAGTTATTAATTATATCATGTTAATTGTTTAAGGTGTCTCTAACCTCTTTTTCGAGTTGACTTAGGGCAAAATAGTGTTAGAAAATTCTGCCTAATCAAAATCACTATTTATAAACAATGAATGGTTGTTTAATAGTTGTCTTTGTTAGTTGAATTGAATACATATACTTGTATTAAATCACCAATTCTTGATGCGTTTCTGCATATCTGATGAACTTTCAATACTTATTTAAGAGCAGGACAGCTAAAGGCTTATTGTTATAGAATCTTGAATGATATTTACAATATTTTTCACTTGCCGTAGGGTAAGTTATAGTAATCGCAAAAAATCGAAAATGAATATTTGTATATATGTTTGTCATACCTTAGAAAAATGGATGTATGTGTGTGTGCGGATACAAATTTTCATCGACGATTTCGGGACACCGATCAACCAATTTGAATAATTCAAAAAGCATTCGATTCGTATTGATAAGAAGACGTGCTGATTAGTTTTTTGTAACTTAGTTTTTAATAGAACGGAGCATCCGATTTTAATAATTCAAAAAACATTTTGTATATGTATGTTTTAGTATTTGTTTTGTATGTATGCATGCTTGTATTGCTAAATGAAGAACTGATTAATTTTTTGGAAAGACAAGTCTAGCGGTTTCAGAGATAGAGTAAAAAAGTTAAAAAACGCCATTTGGCGGTCAAAAATGATCATTAGACATATGCATATCAAATTATCAGATATTTTATGGAGACTTCAATAATGTGTATTAATTTAGTTTACATTTCTATGGGCTCCGTAACATAATTTGTCCGTTAGACAGCGACGCGGCTCTTATGCGCTTCGATATTTCATCTAAAGCAGTGCGATCGCTTTGAAAAAAAAATCAAATTTCCAAAATATTTCTATATGATTTTTTTTTTAATTTTATTTTTTGTACGGAAAGTTCCAGCAATATGTCTTAAGGCACGATGCTATACACCACTAATTTTATTTTTATTCGGCATATAAACCGTACTGCATGATATTGTCATAGCTTTAGTCACGCAATATACAGAACTGTGCAAGTTCGTCATTTTTGGCATGTAATATAAAATTTCACCAGCCATTAATTGTTTCAACAACAGAAGCAAAAAGTTTTCTGAATCCCTCAAATCGGATGCTCCGTTCTTTCAAAAAGTGTCATTTTTGCTCATTTGCCTCCGTATCTCTAAAACGGCTGAACCTGTCTGCCAAAAACTAATCACCACATCTCCTCATTATTACGAATTGAATGTTTTTTTGGATAATTCAAATCGGATGCTCCGTTCTCTCCAAAACTCGATTTCTATTTTGGACGATTACAATAACTTACCCTATAGAAAGTTAATGAGACCAAATATTCAATTCATTAGAAAATAAGGAAATACCATTTATGATCATCAATATCATCAGTTCCTTTACCATTTTTTTCTCCTGTTGTGTAAACATAAAGCTCATCTTTATTTTAAATATTTTCATTATAATTCAATTTTAATGTGTCCTTTACCTTCTAGGCGAAAAACCCTACATCTGTTCCTGGGAAGGTTGCACATGGCGTTTTGCGCGATCTGATGAACTCACACGTCACTACCGAAAACATACTGGTGCCAAACCCTTCAAGTGTCACCAATGCGAAAGGTGCTTCTCCAGATCGGACCATCTCGCTTTACATCTGAGGAGACATGTCTGAACGAAGATCAAGAAGACGATGTTGAACCATAGTTGTAGAAATGATGGTAGTTATAAGAGACGTCGTGGATGAAGAGCATAAATTTTTGGAAAAATTTTGGTAACTTATGGTGATGGATTTGGGTTTATAATTTGTTTGGATCGTAGATTTAAACGCATTTTGTGTAGTGTTGTAATTGAATTTTGTTGTTTGGATTAAAAAATGTCCTGGAGACAACTAGTTGAGCATATTTTACACTATTTTTTGTATAAGTCTACGATTCCAATTTTTTTCACATCGGAATATAAATCTTGTTTTTGTTTTTTTCATCAGTTTTGCATTATTGTTTAGTATAATGTTACGATTTGAACAAAGTTTCAACAAACATTTATCATTTTGCATCATTAACCGTTTCGCTAACGAGAGTGTTTTTCACACAGCTGTACGAGCCACCAATTCCTCCAATTTTGTTTTAATATAGGGTAGAGCGGGTAAAAAGGTCCAACACCGATATCTCAAAAACACAGAAAGTTAAAAAAAATTAACAACAATATTTAAAAGTAGAAAAAAGATATATAACTTATTATACTTGAGACTTCGCTATCATGAGATAAACGCCAATGTTTGAAAATCCATAACAAAAGTATTTTTTTTCGTTGTTTTTTTTTGGTTGTGAGCACTACTGTTTAGTTTACGAGACCTTGATATAATTTTTATGTATACGTTATTCAATTGTTCATAATACGTATTTTTATTTTTAAACTAGAATCAACTTAAAAATTTTTTTATACAACCCCTATAAACTGAACCTTTACCCCAGCAAAGGTGTAAACATAAACAATAGTAAATAAAAAAGTAAATTAAGTTTAAAAAAGCAATTTAGCAAGAGATAAATTAAATAAATAGTTGTTCCAACTCTGCTCGTAAATGTTTTTGACGATATACGTATTTGTTGTGAGATCATTAGATTGGTTTTAACAATACAATTGCTAAAAGTCAAAATGGACTTCTATGACCCGCCCTATCCTATTGCAAACATTATCAAAAAAAAATATTTCAAAATTAAAAATTGCCATAAAACGTTTGAATACTCAATTGTTTAACTCAGAATAATAAATATTGAAGCAAAAGTCGACACACTCGTTAATGTCTTAAAAGTCTTAGCGAAATCGTTAATGTATATTTTTATTCTTGAGGTCAATATTTCAAAATCAAATTTTGTTTTAGAACCATATTTTGCTTATCTTAGGTATTTTTCCAAAAATTTATGGGGTAAATAAATGGTAATTTTACCGTGACCTTTTATCGATTAGTGTTTTGTAGACCTTTTACACTAATTTAAACTTTAATTAGTTAATTAATTAATTAAATATTGTACCATAAGTCACTGCCACGTACGATAAAACAGTTTCTTATAAAAGAAATGAAGATAATTGATGCTAAATGTTTAGTTAAAATAATGTAATAATAATAATTTAGTATTTAAGAATGCCTATAAATAAATTAAATATTTCTTTAGATAAAACTAGCTGTAGATGTAACGACTCCATGATGGATCGTACAATTTTCGTATAAATGTTTTTTTTGTTGTAAATATAATGGATTTGTAGTCTAAATGTATTTTTCAAGAAATTCGTAGATTTTTTAAAATGTTGGTGCAATATACTAAGTGGTCAAGAAAAAAGGTGTTTAAAAAAGCATTTATATTGATAGTTTAGAAAAAAATTACCATCTTGGTCAGGATTCGTTTTCCTCGGAAACTTTTGCGATTTTTTATTTTATTTGCACGCAAATTTTCCTGTGATAAAAGATTTGAAATGTGGTGGATGTGTTTAGGTAATAACCAAAAGAAATACGGTTTTGAAATTAGAGTGAGTTTATATATATATATGAAATACCGAAATCGGATCTTTAGCCGGTTTTGTTTTGTACATAAAATTTAGAATTTAAGATCATGATATATTTTTTTCAGCATCGTCATTTTTAGTATTTGTTGTTAATCGATTGATGAATAATTGTTTAATTTATGCTTAGATGAAAATTCTTCCGCAGCAGTGCTATTATTATTGCTTTTCTTAATTGATAAGTGAATATTATATAATATTAATTAGGATTTCTCAAATTAGTCTCGGAAATGAGAAATGATTCCATTCGCTGATTTATAGATAAGATAATTTTTGATAAATTAATTATTTAATATTATAGAAATGCTTCCTATCGCCTTATCTTTCATATTTGTATTAAAAACGTTGAAGAAAATAATAAATTTTATTTAGAATGGACGATTTGATCTGCCTTTGATATTCGAATGATTCGCTTGGAAGTATATTTGGATAAGTTGTAGAAAATCCTGTTATCTATAAAATGTTATAGACCATACAGAAAACTCTGTATACTTCAAAAATGACTTTGAAACTAGAAACTTATTTCGAATGCGTTATGTATTATAATGCAGCGATTTTACGATGCACTTTTTATCGTAACTTGAATATAGAAAAATCTTAAAAAATAATTGTAATTTTTTTATCGTAACTTGAATATAGAAAAATCTTAAAAAATAATTATATAATTCAGGCCACAAATAATATAATGTTACAAATTGTCAGACAAATCGTTCATTCCACGACACAATTGAAAATTGATAAAAAATACGTTTTTTTTATTTTGCTTTTTAATGTTGTTGATAAATAAAATTAATTTAAATTATATTTTTAAAAAATGTTTTTCTTCAAACATCATCTCCATTTTAATTGTATGATCGATAATGTGTCAAAAGTATTAACTGAAGACTGGTCACCTTATAATAAATGGCAAAAAAAATATTTAAAAAAAATTATATACACATATATGTATTTATATATATATATATATATATATATATATATATATATGAGCGAATATTTTGCGCTATAAAAAAAATAAAATTAGCTTTGATATAAATTAACTTTTAAGTAGTTGTTTAAAGTTTTAAACGATATACATCTGTAGTATTTTGGAAACAGATTTATTTAATTTAATTGTAGGGCTGATAGAAAGTTATGTGAATGCTAAATGATTGTTTATAATGGAGAGGAAATTCCTTGAAATTAACTTACCGGTGCTAGGTCTAATGATAGATATGATTTTTGGATATTTAATATCGGATATTAAATTAATTTGTAACACCGAACCATTTTAGATGATTTTTTTATTTAAGTTATTCGAATATTTTAATCTTGTGATAAACATGTTTTTTTTTCTTCAAGTGGGACTAGGACCTTTGAATAATTAAATTTTACTTCATCAATTTCCAGCTTTCTTATTTTAATAGTTTTATTCATATTTAGTGGATAAGCTATAATTATTATTAGACTGAGCACCGAAAGTCGATTCCAAAAGCAAAACCAAATAATGCAAAAAAGAGTATATTTTTTAGAATGCGATATTTTTTGTGTTCGCACAAATTGTTCGCACGAAATTTCTTCCCCAGTTGTTAGAGGATTTACAGATTTAAATCAAATTTACAATATGACATAAAAATAATAATATAACTAACGTTCTATTTTTTAAAAATAAAACGAAGCGTTGTGGATTCTCGTGTATTTTTGGTAATCGATATATTATAGTCATTTTTTAGATATTTCACTAATTGTGTACATATAGTAGATAAAGAAAATTACATTTTTATTCTTTGTCGCGCATGAACCCATATCAGCTGCAGCATTATTTATAGCATTTATTTATTATAAGCATTCAGTATGAGAAGGAATTTGTACGAAACGAAACGATCATCAATAAATTCTATGATAATTTTTGTAGACTTACAATAAATAGGTATACACTATGTGGGGACACTAGCTCTCACACTATCGGATAACCTTTGCAGAGGTAGTTGTATGAAGGGTTGCTATTCCCTAAAATAGTGCGAATATATTTTCGTAACTTGTATATTTGACAAATTTGTACAAGTGCTCTTCAGTAATTTTGTATACTTTAAAATCAAGAAAGTTTTCCAGCGTGCATTTATTAAATTTACGATTTTTCTTAAATCACACAAAGTGTATATCTTTCAAGTAGTACATTTAATACCAAGGTGATACCAAAAAAATAATAATTTTCGTACTATGGCTAATATGGGTTTATGTGCTTTTGTAAATAAAAATATCATCTCATTGTTGTGAATTTATAAAAAGTGTAGTTTTCATTGCCTTTCTGAAGTCACCATTTTAAGTAACAATTTTATTAGCCGACTGCCCGAGAAAAGCGTATGCCGCTATGTGAAACTATAGCTGGTGGTAGCGACACACATCGGTCAAACATTTTTTATAAAAATTGATCTAGGTTTCAATATATTTATAAATGTAGTTACGATAATATAAAATACACTGACAGTCGGTTATTGTTTGGAATTGAACATATTTTTTTGTGTTTTCGGATACTTTAAGATAAGCTATGAAAACTCTATGGTTGTCGAAATTTTGCCAAAATACATTTTGTGAACACGGTTAATAAAAAGCAGGCAGAAAAATATTTTTCTTTTAGTAATTATGATGGCTTTTTGCTCTTAACTATGAATAGTGCTATAAATATAGCTAATTAGTTTACAAAAATTGGAATTATTTTTGGATGTTATCGGTTGCAAAGCGAAAAGCGTTCATAACTCCACTTTTTATGCAGACAGGGTGTGCTGGCTTGGATCGATGGTAAAAAAGCTGAAAGGAAGATAGTTATTTAAATAATTTAATTGAAATTACTAGAAATGTTATTGATAGAGCAAGCTTATCCGAGAATATGCCTATTGAATTTTGTTGCATTCTGGTTCGCACACTCTGTTTTATTATTTTTATTCAAGTCATTTGTAAACGAAAGTAAAAGAATGTAATACGCCTGATAGAAATATATTATTACGAAATAATATATTATGCAGTCTAGTGGTAAATTTGTACAAATTTGTATTTAAAAAAAAAGTTTGAAAAAAAAACCAACGAACGGTTGATGAGTTCTTCCGTAAACCAAAAAAATTAAAAAAAACTACATAGCTGTAACTAATAATTTTAAAAATAAATATGAAACAAAACAGAGCAAAAAAATTAAATAAAATTGAATAAAAGAATAAAACATGCATCGAAACGATTTTATACTTGCTTAAAATATTTGTCAAATAAAAAAATGCATATCTTTAACTAAAAAAAACACAATGAGAGTATTGAAAAAAATTGCCCCTGCTCCCGGAATTGGAGCGCCTTTCTATGCGCCCCCCGGGAAGGGCAACATGTCGCTTCCGATGTTTATTTGCTCTGTTATTTAAAAAAAATTGCGCAAAAAAATTAAATAAATGAATATTGATAAATTTTAGTCGTTCGCTGGAATTCCGTTCAAGGCTTTCAGCTTTTGTGTAGCTAAATCAATGTACACGAAAATTCGTTAAGTTTTTTGTAATAATTTCTAAAAAATCTATAAATATATATATATCATTATATGAAGAAGAAATTTTTTAAATTTTAATATTCAAGATGATTTTCATGAGATTCCATATTGTGCGAGGATTTTTTTTAAAAAAAATGTATATGTGAATTGTATTTTTTTTCGTTTTTTTTTTGTTACGAAAGTAAACAGCGCTGAATGGCTCATCGAAAAGAAATTAATAATCATTCCGATTTTATTTGGATACATGT